AAAAATTTAGGCAAGTGCTTTTACTTGTAATTGAGTAAAAAATTATCAAAGTATTGGTACTCGTCATTAAGTAGGAAATTTTAGTAGTCTTTCCACCTCTGCCCAGGGCGCACGATCTCTAAAGGGCCCAGGGCAGCAAGGGCACGAGCAAAATAGTGTAGGCCTATGTGTAATCTCCCGCTTTATATTAAAGTAGGGTGACCGTACGACCGGTTTTCCCCGGACATGTCCACTTTTCACTCTGTCCGGGCAGATAGGACAAGAAAATAGTTAAATAAAGACAAGAAAACAAAACAAAGTGTTGAAAAGTAAAATGTAGGTAGATTTATCTCCACTACACGTTTTTACCTGTACAAAACAATAAGTTCTACACATGTCATATTTATACATCTGATACAATTCAGATCACCTTCAAAACTCAGTCACACACCCAGGGCCGTTTCAAGACATTTTGGGGGCCAAGGCAAAATGACCCCACCCACCCCCCATAACTGGGCTCCCCAGAAGCCTCTGTGTAATTCATACCCTCTCCAGGAGTGTTAGTTATACAGTGTTTATAAAAGCTCCTCAGACATCGCTGACATGTTATCAGATGGAAAACTAAATTATCAGACACGCTGTCTCATCTGCTGCTTTTCTGAACCTGCAAAAAGTAACAAAACCATTTGAAAGCCACTATTTGTGGATTCTCTGAAAGTTTCTGTGGAGTGTGTGAACACTTATTTTTTCATTGATCCTATCGTCTAATCTCACAGCTGAAACAAGCATCCTTAATAATCTGTGCACAGGAAGCTTACCGTTGCTGTAGTAAAACAAAAGGTATAATAATTTATTATTAATAAAACCTTGTTGCAGCACTAAAGCAGAAAAATTAGATTTTGCAATAAATATGCTAAATATTTACATATGAATTGTTTTGGAGCCCTTTTATTGGCAGAATTTGATATTAATTTAGTTCTTACAAAAAATGGGTCCCAACGTGGTTTGTGTGGCGTTGCCATAGTGTGATGTCATAGGCACAGATCCCCTGTCCTCTTGTTTGGAAATGGAAATATGATCACCCTATATTCAACAAACTGTCCACCCGGGCTTTTGCGCTGCACAGAGACGCTTCGCTGCCTATGACTTTGAACGTCAGTTGAGAGTCAGTCTCATGCAGACTGACCAATGAAGAGAGGGCCTCAAGTTAAGACCCTCTCCTCATTGGTCAGTCCACACGAGGTGGGTCAAAGGTTACCCTGAGCGGGTTACGTGATGTCAGGCATTCAAGTATTGAGTATATTTACTGCATATTACAGTAAAATATTCTGTATGTGACCATATTGTGGTGATCCTTGGGTCGTGATGATGGGGCCCTTGAATATTGTTGCCCAGGGTACAACAAAGTGTTAATCTGGCCCTAACTGGGATGACAGGCTGGAATAAAATGGCGGCTTGTTTAAAGACAGTGTTGGCTGGCAGCCCTGTAACAGTGCTAACCACTGTGCTGCCGTAATAATAACATTAAATAACATTCATGATGACATTTAAAGGGGCATGCCAGTAGGTGTGTATCAGTTTCTAACTACATAAGGTATTTTGAGCCAATAAGTTGGTTGTGGATCACTGACTACCATGTTTCTTAACATTACCTTACTCCATCTAGAGTGCTACCAGCAGAGTATGCGGTAAAATGGTAATGGTTGTTAAAACATTAACTTAATATGTGAACTGTAGCTTTTAAGTCAAATGCTACTGGCATAGCTCACCTTCAGTCTGCTGTTGAACAAGGGCTAAACCTTCTAGAATTACCATGTCAAAGACCAATCAAAAGTCCTGATCCATCTCCAACAGCATTTAAAACAGATTCATCTGGAAAGCAACTTTGCACAGGGACGGTTTGTCACAGTTACAGCCTGAGAGAGCTTGTATGGATTGACACAGACCTTGGAAAATGCTCAACAGAAACTTTGGGGCACCGTTTACACAGTCCAAAAAAGGTTTTGCTTATTGAATTCCCATCCACTCTGCTACTTCAAGGAGAGAAATTCACACTGAAAGCAGTCATTACATTTCAGGAGGGCCCAACACCATAAACACTCGGGCATTATGTGACGTTCTGTAACAGGACCTCGTACAGTAGCGGCGTTTAAAACAAAGCTAAAGACCCACTTTTATGGTTTTGCTTTTAATTCTGCAGGTTAGATGTTTATATATATATTTACATGAGTTTATTCTGCTTTTAAATGATAGTTTTTATTTTTAGTCTCTTAGTCTTACTATGACACACACAGACAGATGTGGTCACATTTTTCGTATTGATGCTTTAACCATCTGATGTAATTTATTCCTGTGTGAAAAAAATATATATATATTTAATGGATTCAGGCTAAAAGGAAAAGAAAAAAAACTTAGAGTCTCTAAGGACATTGTCTTTGTAAACTGTTCTGTAAAGGTAATGCACCTTAATGCCAGTAGAGGGCAGTATGATACTTGGCAGCTGACCGGGACAGTTTGGTGCGGACATTGGCGCAGCCGTTAGCTTTTCCTCATTCTGCAATGAAGAGCTAACGCAGCAACACCATACTGATGTCCTGTCTGCTCATTTGACTGTTTTTAACAGGTTAGTGTCCTCATATAAGAGCGATAAACAGGTGAAAATGGGAGAAAACCGTGTCAAGATGTGTTTGTCAAGCACCTGTTAATCGGTTTGGGAGGAAGTTTTGTTCTTAATGTGTGGTTTAAATGTGCTGTACGCCTGGCGCCCCCCGATGGTGAAGTTGATATGGCGGCACAATAACGGCTTCATGTTTACTTGGATTTTATCCTGTGTGCTCCATGTAAAATGAATGGCATTGCTGAGAAAGAAGTGTTATTTTGTTCATGTAGGTGAAATAGTGAAAATAAGCAAGGTAGTTGATGAGAAAGAGTTATTTAAACTGGTTTGCATTTATATTATTTTAAAGCTCAAGTGGGGTAGAAATATTAAGTTTGTTCCATGAGTGTCTTATTATATTATGAACATGTAGTGATGAACCAGTATTGCAAGAAAATGTCAAATGCGGTAAAATAAGTGTCTGACTATTCAGAATTTGTCAAAAGGGAACTGCTTAAACAAGGTGAATGGTAGAAAATGTGCTGCTTGACATGGTTGAAAGTGTTAATAAAATTCTGCAATGAAGAGCTAACGCAGCAACACCGTACTGATGTCCTGTCTGCTCATTTGACTGTTTTTAACAGAATCACCTGTTGCATGGTCACATACCTGGGACCTGTAACATTACTTTACTGTGCAGCACATTGGTGGCATGCCTCATGCTTGTAAGAGGCTCCAAAAATCAAGGTTGATGATAATGCAGGGTATCCACGGGTCCTTAAAGTCTTAAAAAGGCTTAAATGAGCTTTTCCAAATTTAAGGCCTTAAAAATCCTTAAAAATTAAAAATAATCCTTAAATACAGTTTCCAAAGGTCTTAAATTACCAAGGACCCAATAAACAAGACTTATTTCTATAAAAATTCCATGAATTTCTAGTTGGTGTTCAGCATTTTTTGTGTATGATATTGGCATAAGCGGAACCGTACACATTCAGTCTGTGGTGAAAGGGGGCTATTTTTAGATTAGCATATTCAGGGTTTTACCTGGCTCAAATTGAGGCAGAGGTGGAACCATCTTGACCATGCGCCAACACATGCATACTCTGTGTATTCAACTGCATCACTTTTTTAAAGGCAAAATATTTTTTTGTTAAGTGTTCTAATCTAAGCTTCTGTTGATTAATTGAATATTCCATTTGACAACGTTTCAAGTGAAACAAAACAGGTTTGCTGCTAAAAAATATGAAATGAAACAAACAAAATTGTCAGGCTGAAATAATGGACTTTTATTATGAAAGGCCCATTAATATCAGGGTGTCCGCGGGGTTTTAAAAAGTATTAAAAAGTGATAAATAAAAATAGTCAAATTTAAGGCCATTAAAAGTGTTAAATTTGGTCTCGGAGGTATTATTTTTTCCAAATTAGGTTTTTTTTTCAGACTATCAGGTGTCGTATTCTGAACATCGACATAGAAATATATTCCGAATGAAATGTTTTGAACGATTATAAAAACAAAACAAGCCGATTATTTGCTCCTCCCACTTGCGCTGCCCTGAGTTGCAAATGAAGCGCTCCTCCACAGTGTCGCCAACTTAGCGACTTTGACGCTATTTCTAACAGCTTTTCAGACCCCCTTCTTGACTTTTTTAATCCTAAAAGTACCTAGTGAACACCTCAGAAACATCTCTGGTAACCCTTAGCTACTTTCTGGATAACTGTCGTCGACATTTCCTGCAGGTTAGCTAAACACTCCGCCTGCGCTCCGGACCGTTCTTCAGGACATTAGGAAAGGGAATGATGTAGTGATGTGTCAGTCGCTAAAGAAACAGCTCTCGGAGCGGCTCTCTGTTGGAGTAACCAGAGTGAGTGACACACACCGTACCTGCGGACTCCTGAGCCGCTAAAAACGGCTAATGTGCGCGCGCTAAACACACGTGCAGCTTGCCCCAGATTGCTGTGAGACCGGGTTGGGGGGTGGGGGGTGCAGCTGTGGTTGGGACAATTATTACATTAACTGATGGACCTGTAAATAATAGTTTATAAATAAGGTAGAATAAGTTCCTCACGCTGATAAATAATAACTAATCTCTCTGAGGACACGGTGCTAGTGCACGCTCCTACAGCACCTTGACACGACTAAATAAATGTTATGCAACATTTTGTGAACATCAATTTATTTGCATGTATTTGTTATAAATGCTACTGTATAATTATTGCTGTCAGTATTTGCAAGATATTGGTATTTGGATCTGTACTGGTTAGACTTAAATGAGTTAAACCAAGGTCTATAGCCCTTGGGTCATAAACTAGGAGCTATAAGTATATTGGACTTTTTATACTGGGAATCAGGAGTTCTTTTAGTGATCATCTTGTTTCTTATTTATTTTTGCCCTGATTGTGCCCTGAGCAGTTTTATGACTGAATAAAAAAAAATAAAAATAAAAATCTACATAAAATGAAAAATCGTCTTAAATAATCGAGATCTCAATTTAAGTCACAATAATCGTGATTATTGTTTTTGCCATAATCGAGCAGCCCTACTTTAGCATATCCGGTCACATAATGATGATGTCATATTCAGTGGTCGTTCTGCATCATTTCTGGCCTCGTGGTCAACTGTCTGAACCGCTGAACAGAAGTGCCTGGCTTATTTTCTAAGTAAAATAAATATGTGCAATACATTGTCAACATCAGTGAGTCTCTAAGTCTATGCTTTTTGTATGTTATATATGTTAAAATATGTGTAAATAGGTAGCTGATTAACACTTGCAATTTAGTGTTGTGACGGTTTAAAAAAAATTCTGAAGGTAGTAAAAAAAAGTATTAAAAAGTAGTAAATTTTACTTACGGATTGCTGTATATACCCTGAATATGCACTAGATTGGTGTTTAGTTCCTTTTTTCCCATTGGATATTTATAGTTAAAATATTTTTAAATATTTGACCTACATTTCAGTAACATTTTAGGTTTGTATTAAAAACACTCATCTCAGTCTAAATGACACATAAATATATTCAGTAAAATATCATTAACATGCATTTTTATTGGATATGGTAATAATATTTAATTTCTGCTGCTAACAATGTAACAGTGGCGTGTCTGTTATGTACGGCTTGTGAATAATCCAGTTCAAATTATGTTCAAAGATGGAAGCGTTTGTGAATTATATACTACAATGGCTTGCCAAAGGACTTGTAGCAGTAATGTGACTCGTATCTGCAGCGGTTCTGATGAGTACTGCTGCAGGATGCAGAATAAACAGTATGGTGGGGACTTTTCATCCGCTTGTAGAGTTTAGTCTTTCTTAATTTTACGATCATCATGTATTTTTCTGTGTGCCACTTGATAATGAGACTGCTACCTGTTAGCTTTAGCATTAGCCAGTCTGCGTGTAGCTGCACTTTTGATCCCAAACTTTGGACCGGTTCTGCCTTTGTGCCTTTGCTCGTTCCTTTATTTTCCTCCACTGCATCCAGATTTCCACACTGTGCGCCAGCAAAAAGCATTTTTCTTACACGTAACTTACTTTTGTTCAATAAAGTTCTGGGGAAAATAGAAATTCGAAGATGTTGCACCAGTGCTTTGTTTAAAAATAGACAGACACGCACAGACAGTTTTTGTCGTCGCACTGTACAGCTCTGCTATGGAAGAGCCTGGGTGAAATCAGGACGTCAATAGCACCAACCATAGATATGTACCAACTAGTGAGAAAAGCAAGTTTTGATCTTTGTCTGCTGCGGTTTTGCCGCTTTTCGGTGAACCGCTGCTCATACAACGCCCTAGTGGCGCAATGGTGCATCTGCTGTTAAAATAACATCAATATAGCTGGGGGCAGAGTGAAATCAGGCTGGGGCGGCACAAAATTAGCTGGAGGCAGCCACCACACAAATTAGAATGCAGGAAAAACCCTGGCACATTAGTTGATTAAGCTAGTGGGAGCTTGCGCCATGGGGAAGTGCAAGTTTTATGGTAACTGGATGGCTAATCCCACGTTCGTGACGTGGTTAACACCGGTTCCAGGCAATAGCTGGAAATTATAGCTTGAATTTAATTTTAAAAATAGCTTACATTTGGTCAAAGTGGCCTTAAAGGTCTGAAAAAGTCTTAAATTTGGCTCCCTTAAACCTGCACATACCCTGTAATGAAGACGAGTATTAGAATTTGTCTTAAACCCGAAATTGCATTTTTTTAATTATTATTACACTCTTCAAAGGGTAGAACCAGAAAAATGCCTTTTTCAGCAGGTTGGCATGGCAGCTTGTTAGCAGTCAGAGAGGAGAGTCTGACACATGAGACATATGAAGATTTGTTTAATTTCTACAGCAGCATTGTTGTATCAGCTCAGCCGTAATAGAAGTTGGTGTTTTGGAATAAATGATTAATAAAGTCTCATTTTGCATTTGCTTTCAGGGCAACTAGCAGTGAGCATGTAGCTAATGTTGGCTGACTAGGAGGTGCTGCTGGTGAACATAAATGTAGTATAGCAATGTTATATTTACTAAATAGAAACAACAAACATGATCAAATGTACTTGTGAAAAGTAATCCCTGAGCTATGCAACTTCAGAGTATTCAGGCTGGTCCCTGTTCATCTCAGTAAAGTGTAGCTGACATGCTGGAGCTTGAGTCTGCCTCCATTGCATGTTGCCTACATGTCTTCAATGTTGAACACAGTTCATTTGTTTGATATAGTGAAACTGCTCCTGTACAAACTAATGAAGGCTGAGGACACATTTTTGCAGTTAGATGAAGGTGTTAAAAAGACAAACGCACCGCAAGAAGTTAAGTAGCATTTCTGCTTGTTAAACAGTCAATTACTTACAAACTTTAGGGGGTGCTAAAAGCAAGCAGGAACTGCATTGTTTCCCTTTTAAGGTACAAAACTGGTTATTTTGTATGTTTAGAACTTTACTTAAAGAGCAAGTCAACCCCTACCAGAGTCTAACTCCACTCTCACTTCATGTTTGAAAAATGCAACAAATGCTGTTGCCTGGCAGACCGGGAAGGCGGAGCTGCTAACAAATACACACACAGGCTCACAACATCATTGTGACATCATAATGTACCAGTTTACATCATAGCATACCTCTTAGCCAATAGCGGTGGCAGATTTAAATTAAAATACAGTGCAGAGTTTTTACCTGACAACAGCACAACACTGCCAGTTTTAGGCAGAATATTTAAATTTGAACTAAGATGCACTGAAGTGCCAAGTTATTGACTACACGTGTCTGCCTCACGATTAGACACTCGTTTATTTAGTTTATCAGCAAAAAATAGTTTAGTTGGGGGTGACTTGCTCTTTAATGTTTAACAAGTGACAGGCAACTTGTGTGACAGTCAGTTGTGTAGTGCTTGGAGCTAATGTGGGGTTGCCTTCTAAATAATTAACTTACTTTATTTGTTTCAAACAGCATTCACCATGCCTGGCAAAGTGTCCAAACGCAAGGCGGATGCTGCCAAGCGCAGCAAACGTCCACCTCCGCCCCTGCGTATTGGGATTCCAACGCCTAGCAGTGACGACGTTCATCGTATGTATTTAGTAGAACAAAGCATTGTAGTGTTATGCAATTCATTTAATTTATACTGTATTTATGTAAGTTGAAAAAATTATTGGACAAAAAAAGATTGAATTTTTTTGTGTGTGTGTTTTTAAGTCTCTGGTACCGGCTGGCGCCATAGAGTTCGTCGTTGGCCAACTAGTGCAGTGTCCAACAAATCTCACAAGTTGGTCCTTCCGGGTGGGATTCCTGACAAGAAAGTGAGTGAAATGTTCACAAATATTTAAAATGTAAATATAGATTTCCTTCCAATACTATGCAGCAGTACTATGGGATCCTAAGGAAACAGTCAGATGGTGATGAAGCTGCTATCAGTTACAGTGCTGCAAACGGATTGAATCGGCTTCTTTTAGACTTGTGCCCCAAGTCTACCAACTTTTGAATCTTAATAGAAAACCTAGTTGCAATCATCTTCCTTTTTATTCAGTGTTTCTCAATCTGTGATTTAGAACTTAAACTGCTCAGTTATTTTTACATGTCTGTATTTTTATTTACATGTCATTATGTTGGTGTATTTTGTAATTGGTTTTACCATTTCATAGTTTATTGTTTGTAAACTTTGACTGTTTAATGTTATCTCTTTCTTCCTGAAAAGCATATTGCATTGTCTTTTGTATGAAATGTCATTTAATACAGATAGTTTTATATGAAAATGTATTTATTTCTTTTTCTAATTTAGTTCGTCCTACTTGTTGGGGACTCCCACTTGAGGTCCGTGGCAGACGGCATAGTCCCTATGCCGGTTGGCGGCCTCACTTTTGGAGTGATGTCCACTCCAGGAGCTTGTGCAGATCTTCTGCGCCTTGAGGTTTCACAGGCTGTGTTACCTCGGGAGCCTGATGCTGTTTGCGTCATGGCTCCTTCTAACAACCTTACGGCCAGCAGAACAGTTGAAGAGGCAGGGGATGCTTTTGAGCGGTATCTTTTGGCTATTCTCAGTCGCTGGCCTAAGGTGAGGAGCTGATTTGTGTAATTTTGGAGGTATAGGAAGTGACTGTAAACGTATATTAAAAAAAATATTTCTTAATTTTTTTAGGTTTTCTGTACCGCCATGATTCCCCGTTTAGTTGGATCCTGGGAGCGTCAAGACCTGTTTCAGCAGGAGTACCACCGCAGATCGGCTAAGCTACGTAAGTTGCAACATAATTGGATAAAAAGGTAGTATTGACGACAAGTGTTATTGCTATATACTCTTAGGCATCAAACAATCACATTTCATAACTTTACATTAATTTTTTTCCTTCTGCTTCAAAGGTGTAAGTTACGTGCCGATCCACGATGACCTACCCAGGTACCGTCGCGAACTGTGGTGCCGTGATGGTGTAAGTATATTGCTTGGAAGAAAACGAGGTAAAGATTCATAAATTTGAGGTAATAAATTTGTATTTTCTTTTGTTTGTGTTTGTGGTTGCAGATCCACCTCAGTGATGACCACGGGATGCCTATACTCACGCAACTGATGTGGAATGCCTCCTATCAGTTCTTGGAGACACCCGCACCAAAGCCACTGGTGCAGCACCAGGTGTCTCGTCCGCTGAAAGCGAGTATTGTGCCCCGTGTGGTTGTGAAGGGTGTGGAACGCATTCCACCTCCACGCCCTTCCGAATGGACGTTCGTGAGACCTAGCGGGAAGGTGAGACACTTTATAAAGTATAAATATTGTAAAATGTTTCTAATTTTAAGCAGCTGTGCCACTAATGCTTCTTAATGTGTTTTCTTTTATTTACCATTGCAGAGGAACCATTCAGGGGAATTTGAAAAGGCTTCTAATTCCCCCAAGAAACGAGTGGTTCTTTCTGAGGTTTGTGAATGTTTTTGATGAATCTTTTTCAGAGAATTTTGATTAGATGGTAATATGTGGTGAATTTTCTTCAATAGACTGATGACACTTCAGTGGCCTTGAAGGAGTGTTTCATCCCCCTGAATCCCGTTAGGTTCTCACCTACAATTCTGGCTGCCATGGACACGCTTGCTCCATCGGCTCTTGGTGATGTTCCCACAGACATCCAGGTATCTTTAGACAAAGGCTTTATTATCTCTTAATGTATAGTGTAATGGTGTTCCTGATGGTTGTAATATGGGCTGTCGGTATGTCATTTTTAAAAGTATTACACTAAACTAAAAAATAATACTTTTGTTTTTGTAGACTACGTCTGTGGGACATCGCAAGAAGCCTGCTGTCTTGAAGCCCAGGCCAGTAAAGCAGCGGGTAAATAATTGTTTGATTAATTAAAGACTCTTGCACACAAATACGTTATGGTGTCAGTGATCATACAACTGTTGTGAATTACTTCAGTTCTTGGAGACATCCTCACCAAAGCCACTGGTGCAGCACCAGGTGTCTCATCCAGTTACGGCAAGTAATGTGCCACGCGTTGTTGCGAAGGTTGTGGAAACCATTACACCTCCACCCCCTTCCCAATGGACACCCGTGAGACCTGATGGGATGGTAAGATACTTTGTAAAGTATAAATATTCTTAAAAGTGTATGACTTTAGGTGACACTGCTAGTAATGCCTTTAAATGTGCGTATTATTCTTTTTTTAATCATTACAGAGGAACCATTCAGGGGAGTCTGCTTCTGATCCCCCCAAGAAAGGAGTGGTTCTTGGTGAAGTTAGTGAATGTTTTTGATTACATTTTTTTAGATTATTTCCATGTAGATGGTAATATCTGGTCAATCTTGTTCAATAGGTTGGCACTCCAGTGGCTGTGAAGGAGTGTTCCATCCCACGGTTCTCACCTGACAATGTGGTTGCCATGGACACACTTGCTCCATCGGCTGGTTCGGATGGTCCCACAGACATACAGGTAACTTCAAAGCAAATGTTATTATCTTTTAATGTAAAGTACTTTCTGATGTTTGTAATATGGGCTGTCTGTATGGTATATTTGAAAGTATTGTACTTAAACGTATTATTTTCTGTTTGTAGACTACGTCTGTGCGACATTTTAAGAAAGCAGCTAGGCGTGTCCAGCAGGAGGTTGATTCATTAAATTATCTGGCATACAAATACATTGTGGTGTTATTTTTGTTAACTGTTGTTGTTCTTGAATTATAGGTTGCATCCCCACCTTGCATAAACCCTCTTGCAGACATGGAGTCTGTTCATTTTAGGAAGGAGGTAAGAAGTGTGTGTTTCAAACATAAAAACTAAACAAATATTGATGGTGTTTAGGATGTATTGCCCTTTAATTTCTTTTATATAGGTGTTGGACTGTGACCAGCTGCCTTTACCCCACCATCAGGAGGCATCTGGTTGTCCTGGGTCTGTCTCTGGGTCTGGTGCTGCCCATGCTGTGATGCTTCCTTCTGGCCAGAAGGGTGATTGCCATCACGCGCATGCATCACCCAGAGGTCAGTCCACTAACACCCCTTCGTGCATGCGTTCACAGGTTTTGCTATCGTCTCTAGTTCCAGAGACAACTGTTCAAGAACCTTCAAGCTGTTCTGTTGTAAATAATTCTGATGAAGATGATACAAGCTTACACAAGGATGATAAAGTTTTAGACTCTATCCTAGGATCATTTCACCAGGGCGATAGGCGTTTTAAATATGGGGGAGTTCAGTGTGCAGCTATTACTGTTGTTGCTTTAACAAAGCACAAACAGAAGACTGTTTTTTCTTGGGATTTTGCCGTGTTGGATAACGTTGTTGAGTTAGGAGATGAGCTGTACACAGATTTGCGCGACAACAAAAAGATTAGAGGTGGACATGAGTTTCTCTCTGTTCCAGACTTGCCAAAGGAAATTGACATAGAAGAACAGCGTTTTAAGCTTGTTTACGGGGATTTTGTTTCAGGAGATGTAGATGTAGTTGAAGGCGAGTTAATAGATGCTGGTGTGTACACTCCTCTCCTGGATGGATTGAAGAAGATGTGCACACAGCATGAAACTTGCATTATGACATTAAGTGGCAATACTTGCGCTATCATTTGTGATAATGGACGTTATGCTGTAGTAGATTCCCATGCACGCTCCGCAGACGGCATGGTAGACCCGACAGGACAGAGTGTAGTTGTGTACTTTGCAAACCTTGATAATGTTTTTCAACATTTTCAGAGGTTTGCTAGTAAACTAGTGGGATCTCAGAAGTCATTTGAGATCACTGGAGTGGATATTGTTCAGATGGACACATTTAAAAATGTATCTGAACAAACAAGCGCAGTTCCCACGAAGGCCAAAGGGGAGAAGCGCAAAAGGTCATCCACATCCACAGCATGCAAAAGGATGAAGATTGATGATGTTAAGGATATGGACTCTGTTGTTTTTGTTAGTGATGTTGCGACAAAGGTTTTGCAGTTTGATCCCATCTCTAGTGATGTGTCAGAGGTTCTGTGTAAACGGTTGAATGTGGAGTATGAAAAGTGTGATTATGCTTGTTGTGGTGTTGGTGAGTTGGGTGTACCATGTGTGAATGAGGAAATAGTGGGTGATGGAAACTGTTTTTTCAGGGCAGTAAGTCGAGCTGTTACTGGCACCCAGAAACATCATAGAAAAATTCGGCTTGCTGTGGTAAACCAGTTAAAAAGGAATCCTCAAACATATCAAAGTATTTTAAGAAGTGAGTATTCCTCGGTTCCACACTATCTTAACTCGTCTAGGATGCAATATGTAGGAAACTGGGCAACTGAGGTAGAAATTCAAGCTGCCGCTGATTATTTTGGCATTAACATTTTCACTTACTGTAATGATAAATGGCTTGAATACAGCTCCAACAGCAGCATATCTAATCAAGGTGTTTATTTACAAAATTGTAATGGTAACCATTATGAGACAGTCATTTGTGTTAAACAGCCTAACATGGAAACATGTTATGGGTATTGCAAGACTGTAGATGATTCTGGAAAACGTAACACTCGACAAGCTGCTACTGAACCTTTAAAGCATTGTTTAGAGACCATAAAACCTGTGTCTTGTTCCATAGAAGCACATGATGCCCGTGTGTTTGATCATGCCAATGCTTTTACTCCTCTGTCAGCAGATGTTTGTAAAACTCTTTGTAACATGTTGAAAATAGATTATGACAAACACACTTCCCAAGACTCTACACCATGTGGGACTTTAGGAAATGTGTGTAAGACAGAGGATATTGTAGAAGATGGTAATAGTTTTTTCAGAGCTGTAGCTCATTCAATTAGTGGGTCACAGAAAGGCCATCGTAAGGTCCGACTTTCTGTTGTTTCATACATGTTAAAAAATACTGAACAGTGTCAACAGTTCCTGGGAAAACATGCTTCTGTGTCACAATATATAGAACACTCACAGATGAAGTATGTAGGTCACTGTGCTACAGAAGTAGAATTTAGGGCTGCAGCTAATATGTTAGGCGTGCACATATTTATTAATAATGGTACTAAGTGGATCAAATATAGTCCTAAATCCAGTAATTTCATCATTGAGGGACTATATTTGTCAAACTGTAATAATATTTTTAAACCTATTATTTGCACTAAGCAGGGTGACAAAGAAACATGTTTGGGTTTTTGTAAAGTTCAGTCTCTGTCAGACACTGTAAACAGGTGCAGAAGATCAACAAAAAAGCAGTTAAATGCTGACCCAAACATTAAAAGTATCAAAATTAATAAAGTTTTGTCTAAATATAAAAAACAAAAAAGGTATTTTACAAAAGCCTTTCGATATAGAAATGACAATACATTTAATGAAAAAGTTAAAACTCAGTACCAAAAATTATATAAGACAAGTTTTGAATACAGAATGACAAAAATCAACTCCAGCAAATTTAAATACAAATTTGTTTCCACACATAAACAGAAAGTTAAACAGATTAGTTCATATAACTATCGTCATAAATTGTCTTACAGAGAAAACGTTAAACAGAGGAGTATTCATGAATACCACCATAATTTATCTTATCAACAAAAAGTAAGAGAGTTGAGTAAAAGGCAGTATCTTAAAGTTGAACATAAAACCCGATTAATAGAAAGTACAAAGCACAAACGAGAGCTGATTAAATTAAAGTCACAACACTTTGATTTTGTCACCGAGCAATTTTTGGAGAAGGTAAAAGATGGACCTGACTTTGTGTGTTGTGTATGCTCTCGATTGTTATTTAAACATCAGGTCTTAAATTGTCGCAAAGATTATTATAAAAAAACCAAAGAAATGTCACTTATAGCAGATAAATGTATAAGTGAAGATTATGTGCATAGATGCTCCAGTGCCTGCAAGTCACCATGTGAGTTTTTCAATACATCTAGAAATTCATTGTATATCTGTTACACCTGCCATTATAAAATTAACAATTGTCAAATACCTCCACAGAGTTCAATCAACAAACTGACTGTTGATCCCATCCCACCTCAGTTGGCACGATTAAATACATTAGAGCAACATTTGATAGCTTTAAATATACCATTTATGAAAATGTTGGCTCTGCCTAAAGGTGGTCAGAATGGAATTCATGGTCCTGTAACTTGTGTACCAGCAAATATAGTTGAAACGTGCAGTTTGTTACCACGCACCAACATGGAGGGGTCTTTATTACCTGTAAAGTTAAAACGTAAATTAACATATAAAGGCCATTATGATTATCAGTATGTTGACGCAGTGCATGTCCAGGAAGCTCTTCAGTATTTAAAACATCATAATTTACATTACAAAGATGTACAGTTCAATGAAGCGTGGATTAATGAATTTTCTCGTGTGGATGACCATTCTGTATCGGAAAAGGACAGTGTTGCTGATAAAGATGAGGGTGCGTGCATAGAAGAGGATGAAGATGAACTGCTGCATGATCGACAGCAACACTGTATGTTTCAGGACACCTGTCTCATGCCAGTGGATATAGGACAAGAAGCATTAGATCAGTATGTTGACAACGTGTTAAATGTAGCTCCTGGTGAAGGTAATAATCCAGTGAAATTGCTTTCTGATGTTACAAATGAGGCAAAATGTTTCCCTGTATTATTTCCTTCAGGATCAAAAACGTACCACGAAAGCCGCCAATATAATTTGACATTGAATCGTTATTTTAACACTAGACTTCTTCACGCTGATGGGCGATTTGCTCATAATGTCGAATATATCTTTTTTGCGCAGTACATGTCTGAACTGGAGCA